AATACTCCGTCATACTTATTGCCACTACGACACTATTGTTACTATAAAAACATGCATTATGCCTATAATCTCAGAGGGACTAGCTTTGTTATTTTTATTTTAAAAATAAGACTAAAACACATAAAACTCACATTCTGACATTTCTTTAACCCTTGTCCATGGTAAATGTCTGAGAACTGATTTTAAAAACAAACTGAGACCCCCACCTAAAGGAATTTATGACACTGTATGTTAGAATTTTTACTTGACATGTTTWGCTTGAATGCTACAGTTTGTCTCGAACATGAATTATTACAGTGAAGTGATTTAATTGGGCTTCACTTACAGAAATCTATGTGGCTGTAAAAGTTTCACCATATATTTTATATTTTCACACAACAAACCTGGCGAATTTTATTAAATCCAACTATTTTTTATTGCTTCTCCATTAAAACCTTAGTCAACACAACAGTGGGAAACACATCAAAGGTCTCTAGAATGAAGACATCTTAAAATCATTTTAACAATTTGGCAAAGAAGTGCAATGTGTWCTGAAAACACAACTCGTAACTTGTTTTCAAACTTTCAGGCTTCTTTGTGTTTGGTGTTTGTTTTTATAAGCTGAAATTTGACCAGCTCACAATCCCTAACAAGCAGCGTTCCTGTTTCTCTTGTTTGTTGAAGCAACTTAAAAAAGGAAAGAAAAGAAGGAATGCAAATCACTTGACTGCACTGAATGAAAGCCAGCGTGAGAGGACGAGAGGCATTCAGTGACKTGTGGGCACGCAGCAGAGAGTGGCAGGTTTCTGGCAGATGGAGATAAAAGCAGCTATTAGCCTCATTTTTGCCTGTGAGATAAGCGGGTGTCGGGGAGAATGAACGGTGGCCTTTCTTTACTCCAGAGCTCGCACAGTGGAGGAATCTGAAGGGAGGTGGAGGGCCGCTGGCCCTTCGGCTCCTCCCTCTCTCGTCCAGAGTTTGGCTCGATTCAGAGAGCCGGAGGAGTGGGACTGAGGTGGGGGGTTAGGAAGTCAGACCTGAGGTATGCTTGGAGGAGTGGGATAATTCCCTCATGGATTTAAGCTGGGTGAGATATGGCTTCAATCCAGAATTCATTAGAAAGAACAGCATCCCCCTGCTGAGCTGTGGCAAGGCTGGGCTGCTGGAAGGTAAAAGCTCTAAATCTATAGAAAAACCAGTAGTTTTATGGGTCCCATATACTAAACTGATAATCTGCTTTCAGGAATTTCAGGAGGTCAGTCTCTGGTCTGTGTGACGTGCAGCACACTATCAGCACAGCCGGGCCTCATCAACCTCTTTAATTGGTGTCAGTTTTATCACCCTGGTTCTAAGCAGTGGTTTCGTATTTGATGCCCTTTTAGAGTATCTTTGGATGTTGTTTGTCCTGATCCATCTCAGTAATCCAGGTGGAAAAATCAAAAAGAAAAAATAACTAGGTTCTCTGGAGAGGTTCTTCTTGAATTAAACGTTTCGTCTCTCCTCCACCAAGACTGAGATGGAACGATTAATTAAAGACGAACTTGTCCAGAGGACCTACTTCATTGTTTTTCCTTTTTGTATGTTCCTTTCCCGTAAAAGTGTGGGATTTATCAAGTTTCTTTCTATAGTCCAAAAACATGCACGGTGAACTGAACATCTTAAATTCCCCTTGAAGGTGTTAGAGTGGGTGTGGATGGTTGTATACCCCTTTGAACAGGGTGGACCTCTTTCGCCCAACAACCACTGATGCATCTCAATAATCCAGAAGTGTTTTGGAGGAGAGACTGAATGTTTTGTCGTCCAGAGGAGCTACTAAACATTCTTTAAATAAACCACTGATATTAAGCCCATCTACTCACATCCCTGAAGAACAAGGAAGGGAGAAGAAGTAGATAAAAATTCAGTTTCATGAATGAATTATGTGTTGAAGCAGAAGTTAGCTGTGCTGCTTTTCAGCGATAATGTTATGTTTTCTTACTTTAAATGATACACAAGCTACGACCCTCTTCACCAGCAAAGATTTGCACCAGTGTGTTTTGTGTGTCATAGCTGGCAGAATATGTGGTGCGTTTTTTTTTTTTTTTGCATCAATTTGTCTTAAATATAAGAAATGTATTCTTTTCTACACAGACCTGACCTGGATCCAGTGGAACCTGGAGCAAGAAACAGGAACTCTATGATTGCTTTGGGCCACCAAAGCAAAATGGACTTCTGGATTCCATGACAGTCCAGGTAGTCTTACTAAATCAGTCTCTCTCAACTTGTCTCATAAATACAGGACAAAACAGCAGTCAGAAAACTTTATGGCCACAAGAAGACAAAAAAGAAAAGCAAGTTTTGTTTTAGTTTGAGTTCAGACCTGAGTGATCAGATAACTGAATCTGCATAACCCCACGAGTTCTTGGCCAAATCCCTGCATTAAGGCAGTATCTCACTGGGCTGGAGACATGTTGGTGAGTCAAAACTGAGAAAATTGCAAGAGAAGAAACATTTGAAGTTGCAGTCTCACTAAATCCTGAGTGTTTGTACATAAAAGTCCAGTGAGCCACGTGACCGTGTTTTAAACACGCCCTCATGTTTATTGTTTTAAAAGAAATTTTGTGCCTAATTAACCGAATTTAGGGTACAGTGTTATATTTGACACTTTGTGCTCATTGCAGCCATATGTTTTAAACAGAGACAGAGTCAGTATGTGTTTATGAATGGGGCCCTCTTCCACGGGATAACAAAACTTGTTTACATTCTAATGTCTGATGTACAAGGTACCGCCCCCAGGGGTGTGACCTGGAAGTTAGGTTTATGTACATGTGACTTTAGGAGGGTGATTCATCATTCATTCTTCTTTTTGGAGCAGCCTGGGACAGGCGCTGGGCCGCTGTTGTGTTTGTTGTGATTCTGATAAGACTCAAGGCCTCAAACTTACAGCTCCTGGCTGGAAGGCGCATGCTGGAGCAGACTGGTGTGAAGTCTTTTAAGAAAGATTTTCAGTTTCAGTTTCAATTCTTTATTCATTTCAGTCAAACAAAACAAATAATTTTATATACAATATACAATAAAAAGAAAAATATGAAAAGAAAAATGAGAGAAAAATAAAGATTTTTAGAAGAGAATCAACTTGTTTTCTGCAAACTTATTCCAATTTCCAGTCATTGATCAAGTTTCTCTTACAGTTTAATCTACTGGAGTACACTTTTGAAATGAAACGGGCAGTTTTGATTCCTTTATTATTTTGACTGCCAGCAGGGTTTAGATCAGGACATGTTTTCCTACAGGGGAGAGCTTCTGATAGGAGTCAAAATATGACTCGAGTGCTGCTGAGGTGGGAAAATTTGGAGAGAAAAGGTGTCAAAATATATTTTTCAAAAGCCTCAGCAACTTGTGCAAGGAAACTGATAGTTCCCCCACAAATGTTTTGAGACAATTTTTGGAAAACTCCTTGTGAATGTCTTTTTTACACAAGTCCCTGACAGTCAAGGCCCAATGAGATTCTGGCTTCACACAACAAAAAATACCACAATTAACTTGTTTTCTCTAATATTTTGTTGCTAAGATCATTTAAGACCCCCCTAGTGCAGAACTTTGTTTCTGTGATGTAAGTGAAAATTCTGCTTTCTTTTTTGTCTCCTGACTCAGATCAGATTGAAATGGTCTCAAATAAAGAAGACAACAGGAAGTACCGAGGACACCGGGGAAAGAAACCGTTAAAAAAGAAAGAAAGTTAAAAAAAGACTCTTGAACAGTGGATGCAATGTGTGGCAGAGTGAAAGGGATTGCAGTTYGTGAGACTTCAGTGTTTTTTACACACTACAACTATAAAAGCAGATCAAGAAATTGAGACAACTTCTGCACGGTCATAATTAAAGTGCTACATATGTTCTCAGCTGATCGTCATTTAAACCAAGGTTTTTGCTATTTTGTTCCTGCAAAACGTAATGTGAAATACACTGTTTATAACTTTTAAATATGTTGTAAATCCATTGTGGATGTACAGCAGACAGTTTGTACAGTGCATGAATGTGAAGCCGTGTAATAGACGCTGGTGAGATACCGTGTGTGAGGAAAAGCACTTTGTGCAGCTCCGGTGTGTGTTTTGTGCCTATCTTGGAGATATGAGTTGCAGAAAACGTCAAACAGAATATGAAGCTATACTGTACATCAAGCTGGTGCCACGTCTTATGCAACATTTCAAATATTTTGCCATCAGGAAAAAAATCTTTCCATTTGTAACTTTTAATTTTCTGTATGCTGTTTTCTAAATAGACTTTGTCAGTCCTGTGTGTCACATTTCAGCAACAAAAGGTAACATTTTAGTCTTTTTTCAACACAAGCTTGTCTAATAAACCTGACATGAAGTTCTTCAACACTTTGACCTTTGACAGATGTGAAAAACGCTGGATGAGAAAATCCAACAGAAATAATAATATACATAATTTGTTGGCGTCCTCCTTTAACAAGACAGTGATGAATATAAATCACTGCGCTTCTGTCCAAACATTCAGCTGTAGGAGTTCCCAGTGCCCTGAAATGTGATACCTTGGGGGCTGTTGACTGAGCAAAAATATGCAGTGAGGTGGGAGTGAAAGCTCTGTCTGATGTTTTTTATTGTTAGTTTTTTTTTTTATCAGCGTTGTCCTCCAAGAAACGCAAAACCAAACTTCAAGGTGCAAAAATACGTGTGTTGTTTGGTTGGGTTTACTGCTGGGCAGTTTTTTTAATTGTTTTTTTTAATGAGGAAATAGTAACCTTTTCTGCAAGTTTGTAGTTTACAGTTTACCAGAAACCTATTGTATTTTCAGCTACAAGCAATGAATACTAACAGAATGTTTACTATAAGGACATTCAGAACACATTTATACTGAGAACAGCATGATTCATTTATACAGACTGTGTCATGTTTGAATTGGTTATTTTGAGTTTTAAAGCAAAATGCGTGTATAAACAGGCAAGAACTGAAAAAGTGTGAACATTTATAATTTTTTTAAATTTTAACTTAAACATATTGGACTACGATGAAGTATTAGAGCCAGACTAAGATAATGCATCTTCAAAAATAAGAAAATTAAAATCTGCAAATGTCACTTTTTTCCCCCACAGTAAGTTAAAGTGTCTTAATTATATCTGACTATATTCACAGTTTATTCTCTGTTTTGTCTCCAATCAGTCACAATTTGGTTTCATTGGCTGCCAATCACTCCCAAAATTTCTCACACTTTGACACTCAAACAACCTAAATTCAAAAAGGTTTAAGATGGATTCTACACACAGTTTCAGTTCTTCATCATGCTGTTAATCATGCAGTACTGTCTTTATTAGAACAAGTGATATTTTATAAGATACTTGCTGTACATCAAAAATAATGAGTAAATGTATTTAACGTGTCCTTCAAAGTGATGTACCTCTTATACGACAGACGTCAGTTTAAAAAGGGATGTTGATTTTATTTGAAGACAGCACAGCCTCTGTGTAAAGTTTATGTTTATGTTCAGGAGGTCAGATAACTGTGTATCAGTTACATGTTGCAGTACACATWCTGCAGAAATATTGTATATCCAAATGTATTTTTCAAAATAAAGGTCATAAATCAAATTGTTTGGTTTTTGGGGTCGACATAAACAGTACAAACAATAATAGGAACAAGAAAAACACTGAGGTGAGGGGCTAAGTGACAACAAATACATTATCAGTAATGGATTTTACTGAAATTAACTGATATGACTCATGGGGAGATGTCAGAGCAGTTTTACTGCTGCAATAAGCAAGGAAATTTAATGCATTAACAAATAAATAAAGGTAAAAAAAACTAATTGAATATGAATTCAACTAGTAATAAAGTATTGTTTACCTGTAGTAAACACCATTGCAACTTCAAAGGATTAAACTCTACAGTTATTGTTCAACCATCTTCTCAACAGGTCAGGTTTGTGTAACAGAAACTTAAAAAGTCAAATACAGAACATTATTTTAAATATGTAAATATTATATAAATTAAAAACCAGYCTGTACAACATACAGCAGGTACATTTACTTCTTCACTGATGGTTCTATTGGCAGAACAGACCCAGTTCACTTATTCCGGCTTTAAGAATGAGAAACACAATGATGTGAAACTTCCTCTTGTGTAACACTTTTATTGGWACAAAATGCTAAAACACAAGTTATAAAACTGGTCAGAAGAACTCTGCATCATCAGTTCAACATGTACAGATGTTTGTTATTAATGTCCAGCCTAGAGCTCCCTCTACTGACTCACTGCGCTCAAAGCAACAGAAGCAAACAATCTGGTGAAGGCTGCACAGACAAATGGTTTCCAGCTCCACTTAAAATCACAAAAACTCATGAAAGCAGGAAGCATCAACACCACATTATATTTCCGTCACTTGTAAAATGACGAGTTTGTTATTGTTTAGATTCTTGTCAGAAGAGCACACCGGTCAGAGAAACAGAACCCGTGAATTCCTAACAAGTGATTTATTTGTATTTTTTACATACATGTGTAAATAAAGGGCCTATACATGTTTTGTGCGTAATGGAAATTACACTATAAAAACTAACTAATAAAAAGCATTTTAGAGGCTCCAAAAGGTTATTTCACCATAGCTGGCACTGATGATTTTCACTAAATACATTAMATATTTTTACTGAGTTGAGTTCAGTTTTTGTTTACAAATGTTTCAGTGTTTCTGACTGTATAGTAACTAGTTCAGTGGTGAATATAATAACTTTCTTTGTGTGCTTTCTCCCACAACAAACTTCCAAACTAAATACCAACCACATGAAAAAAAAACCTGAACATTTTTTTTTGTTCGATTGGGATGAATGCAATATCTGTAGTTGTTGCCAGAATCCACCTACAGTGGAAGAGATGAAGAAATGTGTGAACCCACTGTGGCAGCCACCTACAGCAGAGCTGGCAACAAATTAAATCGCATTTTTACAGAAGCTACTGTTGCTGTACAGTATTTTCACTTTCCAACAATGCTGTCAAAAATTTTTTATGCTATTATAAAAATAACACTTTACATCCCAGTGAAAACACAAATGTCTTAGTTTTACAAGATAACTGGTCACAGCAGTCTTAATCTGAGAACGTCTCAGATATGGGTGAGATTTGAAAGTAAAAAGTTTGAGTTTTATTGTATTTGTAAGTTTTCCTCGTTCCTTTTTTCAACTTTTCAAGTAGTCACTATTCTAATCCAATCATTCTAGTTTATAATATTTCTAAATTTAATGTGAAGCTTGTAAAATTGACACATTTTTTACTGGACACAATAATCTGCAAAGACAGGTCATTTTTCCAGCAGTCAGTACAAAATAAGTCACTTGATATCCAGAGGCTTTATTTAATGATGTTTAGAATGCATCCTGGACCAACTGCATCTTGGGTCTGACCATTGGTTCACTTTCCAGACACAACGAAGACGTGGAACCATTTATCATCATCATAAAATAAAACGTTGAGGCTGCAGATAATCCCTTCTCAACCAAACACGCATGAATCTGTGCCAAACTGAGAGACTTTTACAAAGACCAGAGAGGCGAGTGAGCAGCAASAAGGCAAATGTTTTGAACAAATCTGTTCTGGACATTGTTGACTTTGAGATGGAGCTACAGCTGGTGCAGTCACAGAGCTAACTTAGGAGGGTATGGCCCAAACATTTCTGATCAGTAACTCTTATCATGCATTGACTGATTCAGAGCGATAATTAAGAGAGGTCGTTTGCTTTTGCTTAATGTTCATTATGAACTATTTGTTGTTTTTGGCTCATTGAAAATACATGTAACAGTTAGTTTAGTGTGAATTTATGGCATCATGAAATAATAGCATTTCTTGGTATGAGATTTGACAAAGTTCTGTGAAAAACAAGAATTTTATGATATAGCTTAGTGACAGATTTTGGCCTTCTGGTCACCAGTACATTCACTTAGTTACACAACAAACAAAAACTCTTTCAGATCTGATACAGTGTTAAATGCCTTTCACCTGAAAAAAAGATTCAAAAATGTCTGACAATTCCTGCCTGAAAGTAAATGAAGAAGGAAAGAAATGTCAGATTGTTTGGTCCTTGAGTTGAATCCAGTTGGAAAAGAAAAACTGTGTGGAAGTCTTTCCCTTTCAAGTGGGGAATAACTTGACATTTTTCAATGGTGTTTAAAGTCTGCGACTGGAATGTTCAGAAGTCTTTATCCCAGTCAGACAGTTCATCAGGGGGATCCTCATTGTCAGGTGGGAACACATCAAAATAACTGTGATCCATCGGGCCTTTTAGCTACAAAAGAAGAATGAAGAATTAAAAGTACTGATCAGTTTTTACAGTATTTTCAGTTATTTGTTATTATTTTACTCATTGGTTTTACAATTTTTACATGCACTTCATGAAATAATACTTTCAGTTGTACATGGAATCAGATGCTGAAATATATGTTAGACCAAACGATGGAGAAAAAAATATAATGGTAACTATTTTATGCAAAAGTAGGGGTTGTCCATTTTAAAACAGAAAAGTTATTGTACTAGTCATTCTTGAGGTGAGATTATCAGCTAATCTTGTAATATTACCATTTCAGTTGTAGTCTATCAAAATGTAGTATAAATCAGTATTATTCACTCAACCTGAAATATTCTCTGTACTCTCTATTCTTTATTTGGATCATTCTGTGATCAAGTCTCACCTGTCTATTTAGTGGAGACAGCAGCTGGCGACATCTCAGCCCATCCCAGTTGAAGCCCTGAAACCATCTGTAAGAAACAAAACAAGATTTTACTCTTCATAAAACAAATGTACTCAGCTAGTCTGACATACACGATAGGTACAAAACCTTACTTGTGTTTCTTAATGTCCAGTATACCGTTCTTTTTGTTTCCCAGCCTCTCCACTGGATTTAACCTGTTGAAAAAAATGAATGAATGTTTCGGTCAATATTTAAACAAAAGAACTGCAACAATCATTTATTGTACCATTTACTAGATTACTAGAAAAATATTGGCAAAACGAGAGCAAAAAATGAACTCATCCAACAAAATTCTCGAGTCTACACATGTTGGATCTCAGTGTGATATTACTACTGATTTTACTACAACTGGAAGCTGTTAAAAGACACAAGTCACAGTCTTGCATTCACACATCTATTAACGGCGTGTGATTCAGCCTACTTGCACAGTCTTCTGATGAGCTCGTCTGGTCGCTTGCCTATTCTCTTAGGAAAATCCACCTTCTCGATGCCGTGGAGGACCATGGTGTAAATCTTTATGGGATCTGGTCCAGAAAAGGGAGGGCTGGAACAAAGACAGCACAACATTTCAAACTATTCTTTGTAACACTCATCCATAATCAGGTCTYGATTACAGCCCCCAAGCCAGAGAAGATGCACAGTCCCTCAAGTGAGTTCTGGGTCTGGGTCCTGGTGGGATAGGCCTGAAAAACCTCTAAAGGGAGACTTTTAGGAGGAATCCTAATTGGATGTCCAAACCACCTCAACTGACTTCTTTCAAGGAAGCTCATTTTGGCCGCTTTTCTCCAGGATCTTTTTGTCCTGGTCCATACCTCACAACAGTACAGGTGACTGAATGTAGACAGACAAGCAAATCAAGAGCTTTGCCTTTCAATTTAAGTCTTTTCTCAACATGACAAACCAAAGCAACATTGTCATTACAGAGGATGAACTCCTCCACCGGAAACAAAGACCACACATCCCAACCAGGAGAGGGTATTTTATGTGTTTTTGATTGAGAACCATAGTTTAGACTTAGAGTCTCTCATCCCAGCTGCTTCAGGCTCTGTTACAAACTGCCCCAGTGCACACTGAAGGTCATGGTCCATAGGTGCCAACAGAAGCACATTATCTGCAAACATTGTAGATGTGATCCTGAGGTTCCACACATAACACACTTTTCTTCACAACTGCAGATCCTGCTCATGAACACCACACACAGGATCGGGACAAGGAAACAACCCTGGAGTCGTCCAACCTGCACCAAGAACAAGCTTGACTCTGGCCCAAGGATGCAGATACATCGAGAATTCTAAATTGTCTTTAGGTGTTAATGCATGGTTGTTTAATGTGCCAGCCCTACGTCTAACATCTTTTTTTGTTAACTGAAAACTTCAGTTCCAGGGTAGAGAAAACGAGTGAGTGAATATGACACTAAATGAGACTCCATGTCTGACTTACTGTAGTTTACTACTGTTTACTGATTGTTGTTTTGTTTTTTATTTGCCATTCACCAAAGGACAACATTAATTGTTCATACAATATTGTGACATCTCTCACAACTTTACTGGCGTCTAAAGGTTTGAAACACAAAAAACTTGTTTTCAGAAGTGACAGTACTAGCTGTAGATTCTAAAGAAAATATACCATATCTGGCTCACTTACTTTCCAGTGAGAAGTTCAAAGATGAGGATTCCCAATGACCAACAATCGACCCCAAAGTCATGGCCTTTGTTCATGATGACTTCTGGTGCCACATACTCTGGAGTCCCACAGAATGTCCAGGTCTTTTTTCCAATGCCAATCTTTTTAGCAAAGCCAAAGTCTGTCTGAGGGCATATAGAACAACAATTAWACAAACAGGACAAGCCCAAAGAATTTTTCTACAGATTGAAGTGTTCTATGTTAAACTAACATGTCCTTCAATAAGTCAGAGATATATAAATATTTACTTAGGCCTATCTAAAAATTTAAAATAAGTTAAGTACAAGTCATTATTACACATCTAAATCCTATGATAAACAACAACACCAAGTATGTTTTGTTTCAGCTGCATTGACATTTTTATGATATTTATGAAATGTAGGGAAACACAGCAGTGTCCAGTTGAATCTGGGCCTACATAGAGTATTTTTGTGGCTCACCATTTTGACGTAACCTTCTGCATCCAGTAAAAGGTTTTCAGGCTTTAGGTCTCTATAAACAACACCCTGAGTGTGGAGATAATCAAAGGCTTCTAAGACACAACCAGTACAGAACCTGGTTGTTGTTTCATCAAAGTAACTCCTAGGTTAGAAAGACAAACGGTCAAGCAAATGGCTTCATTTAGCCCAGGATAATATACAAATAAAAACACAACAATCATGTGTCTTATCTCTATTATGTTTTATTTTAAACTTCATAATTAGTGCTTTTTTAATCCACATCTGGGGTTGAATGTTTTCATTTGCTGCCTCTGAATGAATGAATTTGAAGGACATACACTCACATGTCCCGTAGCACTGTCCACAGCTCTCCACCAAGACAAACTTCCAGCAGCATGTAAACAAACTTATTGTCCCGAAATGTTCGAAATAACCTGAAATACATTCAGAGGCATGTTTCAATTGGTATTGTATGCCAAAATAACAAATGTTGTTTTAGGTATTTGCTCAATTTAGCACACAGACATGTTATTTCTTGAACCATAAACACAATCAGTCACAATAAAAACAATCTGTTTTGTTTTATGCTCTTGACTTGTAAGAAAAAAAAAAACCACCCGCTTCAGATGTTAACATCCATGAAATGGATGTTATTAGGCATTATCAGTCCCCTAGAATGGCTTCAGAATGTCCCGCCTGTGGCCGTTAGCAGGTTCCTCGTCCCATAGAATGGCTTCCGATTGTCAGCTGGTTAGTATGATGCATGAAGGCACTATCTGGTTAATATGAGGCATAAAAAATGCTTAATATGAGGCTTAAAGCCACTAAAGTTAACTTTAGAGCAAATGACATGGTTAGGGCCAAAGACCCCGCCCTCCAACGCTTGTATATTGTAGCCTTCCAGTAGGGCAATGGGTAGAGTGGGAGTCCAGGGTTCGAGATGGRCACAAATAATTTATTACACTATCTTTTGGTTATTTACACATTCATTATCATTGATATATTTACCCACTAGGGGGCACTGTCGGGACAGTCTGAAGCCTAGAAGGCACRGCAGGGACCCTCTGAAGCCATTGTATGGGACTGATAATGCCTAATTACATCCATTTCATGGACTGATAACATCAGAATCCCCTGAAAAAAAAACTTGTTTAACAAGGACACCAAGCTTTGATGAGCTCTGAAAGACTTTCAATGCATGAGATTAACTTGATTTGAAATGGCTCGTTCTGTAAACTGCACAACTCATACCACTGAAGCCTTTTGTACTTTTTTATTTCAACACCAAGACTGTTTTTAGGAGGAAATTTAAACAAAAAAAGACTCCTGAGATCAAAAGCAAAACCGGTGCTAAGAGGATCAGAAACCTTTTTAGATCATTTAAGTAAAATTCCATTTTCGCTTTACTTTTTTATGAATAGTAGACAATAGCTAGCTGACACAAGGCCTTCGTTGTCTAAAAGCATAGTGGAGATAAATTTCAGAGAAGAGGTGGAAACTGGGTCAACAGCATTCTTCCAGCAGGTCCTTAGCAACTCCACAGAGAAACTAATAACCTGAACGTCACACATTTTATCTCCTCTTCAGAGAATACAAAAGTTTGTATAAAGTTCACCTCTGGGACTAAAATTATTTGCGTTCCTCTGCTCATCACTTTAAAGTTTCCACTGGCTGTAGTAATGAAGATTAAAACAAACCCTCAGTAAGAAGTGGTATATCTGCTGAATAAAGGATGTGGTCTGCACCTTATAATAAATGCTGAGTTTGATTGCTGAAGGATGTTTTTCTCAGAGTAGATGTGCTCCTGCTGTCTGGTTTCCACAACGTGCTTCTTTTTAATGCACTTAAGAGCAAATGTGATATCTTCATCCTTAAGCTTCACCTGACAAACAGCAGAGAGAAGCTTGATGAGCACAGCAAGACACTAAAGCCTGGTTCATACTTCTACTAGACGTTAGACGGCAGATCAGTGATTACATCATTTCCAAATTTGTCGTTTGACAGAGTGTTTATAGTGTAGAAGACGTGAGTGATAAATCATCATAATCTTTCCCACAGCTCTCCCAATGTAGCATATGCCACACACAGCTAAGCATTTAAACAAAAACAGTAATAGCAGGATAGTTGTTTTTTTCATTTGATGATTTATCAGTGGGAGAGAGCAGACAAAGGTTATGCAGTTTTCATCAAGCAAGACTGTAAGCGAAACGTGAGAGTGGAAGTATGAACCGGCCGGCCTTAATGCTGTTCCATTTACCCCTGTAGTCAGAGCTGGGAATGTCATCACATTCAATGTTAGTGCTCCAGTTACAACTCAAAAATACTTATACTCAGTCTCAAGTCTAACTACTGTTGGCTGTACAAGCTTTTAACACCCCTTTTCCACAAGCCCATCTGCAGCACGGTTCGATTTAGCTCTCCATGGTTCCAAGGCTTTTCCTCTAAGGATTCATAGAACCAGCTCCTTTTTCAGAATATACTTCGCTGTGGTTCCAAGTGTATCATGCTGGCCCGAAAAAGCAACATCAGAAGACTGTTGGTCACTGATTGGTTAGGAGGTGGAGTCACCAGTTGTGTCACAAGAGATACTCACACAACAACTTGATCTGCCGTTTGCAATAACAACACTATCATGTCCTGCATTGTTACAGTATGTTGCATATCTTTTCAGGGGTTTTTTCTTCTATGTTTAGTGGTGTCTGGCAAATAGCTTAATGGATAATAACCAACCAAACCATGCTGAACAGTGTTCAGCCAAGTCGAACACTGCTGTAGAGGCGCAAGTGGAAAAGGGCCATTCCATGCATTCAAAACTGTAACAACACCTTTCCTAAGAGAGGTAATACAGTATTATTTGTGGAACATGCATGCATATGTGACATCAAAAAGTGAAAATGACAGTTGTGCTAATGTTGCTTCAGCTCACCAGCTCCACTCGTCCAAACCCTCCCACACCCAGTGTAGCGATGACTTCAAGCTGCTGGAAAGGCTGGTGAGCTGGCAGAGCAGCGACCCTTTCCCTCAGCCTCTGGAGCTCCTGGGTCTCTGCAGAGTCTACCTGATGTGAGTGGGGTCTGAGGGAGAAACAATGCAAGCACAAGATTAGATTTTGAATGATCACTGTTTGACCCGGTTCACTACTGAACTGTGAATATTGAATAGCTGACCTTGAAAATGAATTTTAACAAAAAAGCTGTACAGCTGTAATTAATTAGTTTTCCACTCAGCTACTCACAGGGCATTTCTTCTTTCATCACATCTGGAGAGCTCCTTCACATATTCCTTCAGATAAACCTGAAGCTCCTCGTAGGTTCCCACCATCTGGTTGAAATTGCTTAAAGAGAAGGAACGTGGTTAAACATTTAGAGCTACTGCTTGCAGAAGCAGACAATACTGTCGCTCAAGGCTGTGCAAAGAAGGGGCAGGAGCTCAAAGTAAAAAAAAAGGACACATACTAACTGGATTCTACAAGAATCTCACGCAGCTTTTATACAGTAGTTCAATGTACTCTGATGTACTGCAAAATAGTAACTATCAAATCATCTCTCTACAGCAGGGGGTTCAAAGGTTTCAGGAGTAGGAGGCTTTTTAGAAAATGTAGGGTGTTCCAGCTTTTCTTTCACTGAAGCTCAGCACAAGAGGAGCACTTATTGTGTCATGGGTAAAAGGTCAAAAGAAACTATAGGCGACTTGGGCACTGCAATGTACTTTTCAAACAGAATAGCATAACTACCATTATGCAGTTTCATCAGGTGCTCGAGCACAAATACATAAATAAATAAATAAATAAATAAATAAATAAATAAATAAATAAATAAATAAATTGAGCAAAGGGGCACTTGTGGGCAAAGAGCTCCAGTCAGTTTTAAGAAAATTAAACTCAAAATCTCATTCTCCAAATTAGTCTTGTTTAGGTATCCATTACTTTTAATTAATATTATGATACTTACTCTCTGTCCACTACTAGGCACTGTGTGTCATTTTCATTGCAGACGATGTTGGCTGAGCGAACATCCTCACTGTAAAAATGTTAAGAAAAAGAAACACAGCCCAAACCTGTGATACATTGTCACTTGTCACCTTGCAGTTGTTGGTAAAATTAGAGTAAAAACAGCTGTTTAAAGAAGTAATTTGAGGTTATTTACATGTGTATGACATTAACTGCTTATTATCATTACATACAGTTGAATCAAAGAAGGACCACAGAAGATAATGAAATCCAAAGTGGGAGCAGACAGGAAAAACGTTTCCAAACATGTTCTTGTAAAAGCGCATTAAGATGAAGGTGCTAAACAAAATACATTGTTTGTGTAAAAAAATAAAAATAAAAAAATTATTGAGTGAGAAAGCATACCTGAAAACATAAAAATACACCAATCAGACAGAAAAAAGAGAAGAATAAAACAAGGACGACAGTGCAACTGTTTGCGGTCTTGCCTTCTCAAGTCGCTGTTAAGATTGTTGGTTATAGTTGGTGTATGACCACACTGCTGTACCTGCAAATAATACTGACTTTTTGGTAGTTTACCTGATGAGAGCTTTTTCTCCAAAGTAGTCGCCGACTCCCAAGGTTTTGATTTCCTGGGGTTCAGTAAATCCCTCTGTGCTTTGGGTGACTAAGACCTACATATAAGATAAAATAGAGCAGGAAATATGGTGTAACTTATTATGCAAAATTTGCACAATATGATAATGCAGTATGCAAAGACAGTATGCTAATACAGTATGCTAATACATATGTGATACTGCATGTATGAAAGGAGGGCGATCATTTGTCTGTTCTTTGTTAGCAAAATATTTCATGAACTGGTGAAGGAGTTTTAATAAAACTCTTGTAAACAAAAAATTGCTATTTTAGAAATAGGAACATGTGCAAATATCATACCTCTCCTTTCGCAATGATAAAGAAAGTGTCTCCTTCTTCTCCTTCTCTAATTATGTACTCTCCTTTTTCAAAATAATCCTGAAAATAAATAAAAAACTCAGAAATTTAGTTGATTTTGTTCAAACAAAAAAAACAAACAGAAAAACAAATTAGACACTTTCATAAGAAAACACAATTGTACAGTTCTAAATTGTTACACAAAATAAAGATTTGATGTAGAAMGTTCTCACCACTTCGAGGCAATCAACAATCCGAGCTAGTTTTTCTTCAGGCAGTTCTTGCAGCAGAGAAACACTTCAAAGAAACAATTAATATGAATATTAAATCATATAGGATTTTATTACTGTGGTAATATGATGTTTAAATGCTGTTAGAAAATGCAAAGTCTTTTGCTTAGTGTTTTGATTTTTCGACAATTTTTTATGTTCTTAAATGAAAATACGAGAGAGCAGGAAACTAACACTTTAATTTTAACAAAATAACAGAAGAGAATATCAGTGTGACAAAGATATTCATTAGCAAGATGCACATTTCTGCCCCAAATAACCACATAAGACGTTTCAAACACCTTCTGTTTTCAAACAGCCGAGCCAAAAACAGCTGAAGTGAAATGTTACAGTGAACTCTGTGTGGGTGGAGTTATAATCTTTTCCTATTCATAGCTATACAGACACAAACAATTCTGAATTCATTTAAAAAGTAGCAAAATAAATTATTTATTTTTATTAACATCATAAAAAAATCCTTTAAAGGCAAAAGCAAAGGGCAGATTTGCAGCATTCTGAACATTTTTGGCTTTAACAAGATTGATCTATGGCAGCACAATGGATCAGTGGTTAGCACTGACTCCTCTAACCCATTCCCACTCCCGACTCGTCAACATATTAATGCATGGTCAGATAGATGTCTGCGTCCAGGTTTGGACTCTTTGGGTACCCCCCTGACGTCAGTTTTTAACAAGATGAGGAGGAGGAGGAGCGCGTTGTCGTATTTTTGAAAAGAGTAAGAAATGCGTGACAACTAACCATCCCAGACCCTAAATTTGACTTCTATTAGCCATACAGCCTATCCCCAACCTCTGTACCTAAAATAACCATTAATCTTGATCCCTGATATTAACCATAGACACCCACTAATGTGGCACAACCCGGAAAAGCCACCGGGAGGCAATGACTGACGCAAGGGGGGTACCCGACGCATCAAGACTGGACGCAGACGGTCCCTGACCAAGCGTCAATATGTTGACGAGTCGAGAGTGAGAACATGTTGACTCCTCACAGCAAGAAGGTCCTGGGTTCAATCCACGGTTTGGACCTGGGGCCTTTCTGTGTGGAGTTTGCATGTTCTCCTCGTGCTTGTGTGGGTTTTCTCTGGGTACTCCGGTTTCCCCTACTCCCCAAAAACATGTTCAATATGTTGCCTTCAGGCCCAGGCCTCCCTTGAAAAAGAGATCTGGGATCTCAATGGGATTTCCCTGTTTAAACATTAGTAAATAAAACAATCCAATAAACCAGTATCACCTTCTGCATTAAGAGCCAGTATTTGGAAACACTTGAGACTCTATGACGTCAAAAATGACATTAACAAGTCCACACTATGCAAGCTGTGTACGTGTTTCCACATGGATGGAGAACTGCCAGTCGTTACTGCTAATGTTAACGGTTGTTTTTCACTGGGCTGCAACTCTTTGCGACTAGCTGTCATAAAAATGTTTGCAGCATGAAAAATGTGGTCAGAGTTAGGCACAAAGCAATGAACATGTGGCTTAGAATACTAATGGGCCCGCTACTCATCCAAGGTGCACTCCGCCTCCTTCACAGTAACTGCTGGAGATAGTCATTAGTGATGTGAAAAGGAAAATTTATTTATATACTGTAAATTTTTTTTTACAATTTAACCTTTACTTAATCAGGAAAGTCCCACTGAGATAAAAAAAAAAACCCTATTCTTTTAAGGGCATCCTGTCCAAGAGGCAACAAAAGTTACACAACAATTACAGTTAGTTACACATTTAAAATGCTTACAATTACTGCAGATAATTATTAAAACTAGTCACAATTTAAGGAAGTCATCTCTAGTTCTCTCAGTCTGGACTTAAAGGTGAGGGAGTCATCAAGCAAGACACCAAGGTATTTATACGTGTGAACCTCACAAGTGAACAGGGACACCTTAGAGTTTGCAAGAAACATTAGTCTTGTCAGCATTGAGTACAGAAGAGTGCGTTGGACCGCAGTCATAGTTAGAAAAGCAGCTAAAGATGGAGGGCATAAAATAATTTTTCAAGCAGTGAACATGAAGTTTGCTTATTTGTTTCCAAAACTAAGTTCACAAAACATGACTGYACAGGTGGATGGTCACTTGGTTACAAAAGGTCATTGTAAACATACTGAAGATATTTTAGTCGTCATAAAATGTAGTAAATAAATTGAATTTTACTCGGCCCTGGTCATGGTGTGTATGYTAATGTCACCCTGGCATCGATAGTGCTAACTCCATCTTTCATCCTGCATTTTTAATCAAGTGTTTTGACAGAGAGAGGAACATTGAAATCCCTTTAAGAGCACTTGAAAATAAGAAAGACGAGCTGGATGAAGATGAGAGAAAGTCGACAAAGGGGGCAGCTGTTTGTGCAGCAGCTGGTAAGTATCTAGCATCGATCTTTACTTGCTGTCAGAATCTGTTCACAGTAAGCATCAGGATTAAATATAATCTCATGCAGATTATACAAGTACTTCATTATGCAATAATAAACTTGTTATATTAAACATAAAATTTGTGCCAATTTATAGGCTGAATTGGGCCACCAACGATATCAGGTGATGTCAAAGAAATTAACATGGAGACTGAATAAAAATAATATTTTCAAAAAAACGGTCCAAGACTTTTATAATCATACTGTATTTCTTCAAATTTTTTAGTAAAACATAGCTGTATAAAGGTTCCATTTGTTCTTAATGCAAACTTAATTTGACTGTATGTATGGCATCCCTCCTAAAAGTTGATCTTTATAGCATCTCCCTTTTTTTAATAAAACAGAATTTCTGCCCTTGTCATAAACACTCAGGAATCAGCGGGACTGCAATTGAAAATTTGCCAATTTTCTTACAATTTGGAGTCTCCAGCATCGTCCCAGAAGACACAGTGTCAGTGAGAGATTGCTTTATGTTGCACTCTTTGGAGCCAAGATAGAACATGCTCACTCTATGGTGCAGACAGAAGGCAACAAGAATAGAAACAACCCTGCAAACACTGAAGATGAGGTAAAGCTTTAACATGTGCTACATGGACTTGAAGCAGGAGTTTGCATGTTCTCTACGTGCACATGTGAGTTGGGTACTTTGCTTTTCACCAGCAGACCAAACACGTATATTAGCTTGTTTTGTTACCTTTCAGAATAACTGTGACAGTGGTTGTGTCAGATGTTTGGAATTTGTATCTATTTTGTTAGTTTTTCTGTATTTTGGTGCCCTGAGCTCTGAAGGTTACTACAGCAGGATTCAAGAATGTGTGTTCAGTTCTCTCTTTTTAATATTTACTCAGAAAACAATAGCTGTGGCAGGAAGGGCTTGTGTTAGAGAGTACAGTAAAATAAATAAATAAATAAATAAACAAACAAATAAATAAATAAATAAATCTTCTTCATACTCGCTCACAATTTCAAGATGCTCAGTGCCCAGTAAGTAGTAAGCTATTTGTCTGCCATCTCATAAGCTATAAGATAACAAGCAATATTTTAAAGGGCAGTTCACTCAAATTTGGCAGTGACGACATTTAACAGTTTGATGCATCTAATATTAATTGCACACTCTGATATACATCGTGTTTAATAATACCCCCTACATAACATACTAAGAAAACAACAGGTTGAGCAAAAGTAACAGGCTATTTCATTTATATCATGTAAAGATAAAGACTTTAAATGTTTCATCTCAGTGGCTCCAAATCTATTTTCCTCAAAGCTCTCGTTTCTTACTTCCAATCGAAGCTGAGACCCCCCTGCCCCCCACCAGTCTCTCACGTCTCCCTATCTCTCCCAAAAGACATGTTCAACCTCTATCTCTTTATCAAAACAATAAATACAATTAATAGTTTAAAACTTTTGTTTAGAACAGGGGGGAAAATTGTAGCTGTGCAAGAGAAATAGCTACAAGAACATTGTTGTGAAAATTACACAGTTTGAACCTCTGAGCAGACAAGGTTCTGAGTCCCACTCCCCATGCTGTCTGGCACCCCCAGGTTAGGAATAACCACTTTATCTTATTTAGTGGTTGATGTCTCATATCTCTGTAGTGATAAACACGTGTTTTGTGTGTGTGTGTGTGTGTGTGTGTGTGTGTGTGTGTGTGTGTGTGTGTGTGTG